AAACCCTATGGCATAAAATTAACGGGGGGGGGGGTCATAATGTGATCCAGTGACAAACCGAGTTTTCTGGAAAACTGGTGAACGGCAATAGTTAAAAGCTTGAAACAAAAACGAAAAGGTGCTCCACTGAGTTTCCGATCAGTTTTGAAAATATGCAGCCTTACTGAGTTTTAGTTTTTATCTCACAGCATTTCTACGGAAAGTCCAAAATGAGAAGAGGGATACCCTTAAAGGACAGTTTGACATATTTGTATCTAAACACTTTTGTTTCTATTTAGTTGAGTACATTTCACTAACTTATGCTATGTTTTGGCTTGTACTATCCGTTGTTTTTGGAATAATTTCATATTTGGTTTATAAAATAATTGTTAAATTTGTGAAATCGGATGTTAATGAGAAAAAATATGATCATGCTATAATAATAGGTGGTAGTATTGGAGGACTGATTAGTGCTGCTTATTTATCAAAATATTTTAAACGTATAACAATTTTTGAATCAGATGATGTACTAAATGATCAACTGATGAAAGCAACATCAGATGAAATATTAGATTACCGGTGTCGTCTCGAAAGTGCAAGCTCACTTGGACGCCGCGGGGTTAAACAGATTTATCAACTTCATGTGTTGGGAGGTGAAGGAATTAAAATTATATTTGAATGCTTTCCAAACTTAAAAGATAAACTATTGAACGAATATGGTGCTCGTATTATTTCGTTAAATAACGAGTACCGTATGACTATCTGTGGTAATCTACTAAATGAACATTTAACAAAGGAAATGAACTGGATTGGTGTTGATCGTTTTACATTAGAAACACTTATGAGGCGAGAATTGTGCACGAAATGTCCTAGCCAGGTTGAATGGAAATCTCGTACAAGAGTGACAAAACTACTTGTTGATGAATCAAAAAATGTTGTTAACGGTGTGAAATATCGCTATAGAGAAAAAGAGATTGATCAATCCAAACAGTCTGTTGATTCTAGGTTTGAATTGTACGGTGATTTTATTATTGATTGCACTGGTCGTCGTAGCAAATCGGTAAGATGGTTACAAGAAAGCTTACATTTGGTCATACCAATGGAAAAAATCAATTTTGGTATTGGTTATGTCACATTCATCGGTGAAAGATTTAATACTGGGAATCCACTGTTAGATTCAAAGCATGTACTGGGTAATGTAGCTTATGCTCCACATTATAATAAAGCCCTTATTATGACGCCAATCCGAAAAATACAGACAATGGATACAAATTCACTTGGAACTTTATCAACTATTGTGGTCTATGGTCTTAATTCAGAATATCCACCAAATGATACATATGAAAATCTATTAGAATGGGTTAAAGAATATTTAGATCCAGATTATTATTTGATATTGAAATCGACCAAAGTATTAAGTCCACTAGTTCCATTTCGTCATGCTTTTGATAATCGAAAATATGTTGAATCATGTGGCAAACAATGGCCAAAAAATTATATATTATTAGGTGATTCAATGTGTACATTTAATCCTCAATATGGACAAGGCATAACACATGCATGTAGACATGCTAGAGAATTGAGTAACATATTTCAAGAGGATAAATATAAATTGAAAGACATTTCATATATTTATAATCGTCGAGCTTCATCAATTACTGAAGAATGTTGGATCATGTCTACAACAAATGATCGGCTAACGCCAGCATTAAAAATAATAAAAAAGGATAAATATGGAAAAATTCAAGTTCATCAACGAGGAGGTGATGCCCGTTCTTCCAGGAATTATGCACAACCCAAAACACCTATTATGTTACAATTTTTACAATGGTATAACTACTGGTTTCTCAAATGTGCATCTAAATCCGGCGAATTAACTACCGACTTTTTATGTGTTGTAAATCAAGAAAAAAGTCCATCTACATTGATGAAACCAAAAACTCTCGTTAGGGTTATTCATATGGTAGTAACAAATTATTTTAATTCAAGGCGAACAATACAGGACTAGTATATATTATTTTATTGCGTTGAACTTAATTAAGCTATATATGTTTTTATGTTATATTTTTCGTTTTTGTTTGGTATGATCTAGACAAAGTTTCATTTAAACTTTTATCATCATCAAGTCAGCTTTAAGATCATGGACTAAATAAAATTACTACTAAATAGTATTTTGTTTACAAATTTTCGATCTTTGTGGTTATTTTCAAATAATTTTTGTATGCGATAAAAATTATATAGATTTACTTCTCAGAAAATATCTTTTTATCCATTAAGAGTACCCCTCCCCTCTTTTTGGCCTTTCCGTAGAAATGCTGTGAAATAAAAACTGTAATTCACCAAGACTTCATATGTCCAGAACTGATTGGAACCTCTGGTAAAATTTTTAACTCGACTGGATGAAATTTAAGGTAGGTCGTAATGTGCTCCAACGAAGCCCGGTATCAAAAAAATAGTTTTCGAAAAAAACGCATTTTGTACACGGGCTACGTTTAGCAGGGCATTTGTCACGATACTTATATCTTCAAGAAAACTTAGCGGAAAATTCTTGAAGGCGTCTCATTGTGAAGAAAGCACTTTCTTCTATCAGACTATGTGTAAGAAAAATTTTGAATATACAGAAAAAGAAAAAAAAGTTTATAAAACTAAAAAGTTAAGTTTTTTAGGCTTTAAAGGAAAAACTTTAAAAATGCATAACTTTTTGAGGAAAGGTCGTGCAGTGCTGGGAGTGATCTGATTTTGTAGCCCACACTTTCTTCCACATTAGGCTATGGTTCAAAATCCGAAATTTTTCCAAAAAAAGGGCGGGAAAGGGAGGTACTCTTAAGCAGCACTATAGATCGAACGTTTTAGCTATTTATTGCACAGTAGTAAAGTTAAGATGTAAGCAGGAAAAGTTACTGTTAGATATACGGCTTTTGAAGTCATATCAGACAGTTAGCTCAATATTTTATATTGACCTTCGTATGGATTTTGACGAGCATACTTTTAGCTTCAAAATAAGATGCCTTTCAACTTTTCACAATGTTTTCTGTAAATTCTATAAATGGAACAAAACGACAAGAACGGTAACGCACAGACATTCGTATGAGCATTACGTGGAATTGCTGACTAGTCGATTAAGTTTGGAAAGGAAAAAATTAACTTTATGTACAAATATTTACCAATAAGCAGCATCATTATGCTATAGAACAATTGCGTTCGATGGTTTTTAATATTGTGTACGTTCGAATTCATGAAATCATAGATATTACCATAAATAATAGAATTGTGATATGGAGAAATATACATGATAAGAAATTAGCTGGTTTATGTGCACTGAAACTAGACTGTTCATGAGATGATAAAGTACCAGTTGATTTGTAGACATTCAGAGGGAATGGTATTGTTCTGCTGTGAAAAGTGAAATTTGTTTAATGTCATATGTGTTGTGTTTGCCTTGTATTCCTAAACACTGTGGTTCTTAAGCCTCCCCTCAGAAATGGTGATTTTGGTCAAAAAATCGATTTTGAGATACGAACTTGAAAAGATAGCCTGAAGTGTCTACTTCCAGAATCTGTATTGCTTTTGGTTACAAAAGTGGCTTTTCCGGGATTTTGAGCAAGTTTTCTAAGAGCCTCGAAAAAACGGATCTTCATAAAATGGTGTTTTCCTGAATACTTATGCAATTAAAATTTTTCTGAAAACACAGCTTTGTAGAGCAAATGTTTCTGATCAAAATAAGACTTCGCACAATTCTGTATGACCTTGCATCGAAGAGTTACAGGCATTTTCCTAGAAGTCATAAAATCGACTATTTCATACAGCGTTTAACATAGCGTTTTCGC